AGGCCTTGCCAACGTGAGTACCTCCGCCACTTAGACCGACTTCTTTTATTATTATTATTTTTATTTTATTTATTATCAAGGCTAGTCGAGCCCTTCGCACAAAAAAAATCAGCGGTTGGCCGCGGAATGATCAGGGCTAATTAACTTGATGACCCATGCCATTAACCCCTTGCCGGTAAGGAGAGCAGCTGAACCATGGCTCACTCAGGTTGGGCTAGTGGAATACGTCTTACCCCGCAGGTTAGAACGTCAAACCAGTGTGGTAAATTTTGACACACCGAGGAGGGCCAGAAGGTCGGGCCCTCCGACATGATACCAAACCCCCACCCAGCGTCCCCGCTGGGTAGAAATGAGACAGCGTCTGGTATAAAGAAAGATGATAACTCAGTTTAGTTCATTCTTAGGGCTCTGCATTGTGAATCTCATAGCGCCGATTTGCGCTAGCCTTTTTCACTTCTAGCAACGTTTTTTTGATACTACTCATGTGTTATCCATAGTCGTTTCTTCTCTTTCTCCTCAGTCCTCTCCCTTACAGTGCTCCATCGTTCGCACATTTCTTCTCTCTTTTCTCGGTTCTTTTTGCACCATGCCTGAGGCACGCTGCGGACAGGGTAGAGGAAGGGGAGGAAGGGCTGGTAAGGCTAAGGAGGAGCCGCCGGCTAGGGCACGGCACGTTTATAGCTCAGAGGAGGAGGGAGTTGTAACGGAATCGTCATCCGAGATTGTCTTTTCTTGTGGTTGTCAAACCAGTATCGGGACTTTTCCGTTGTTTTTTTTTTTTTTTTTTTTCCTGAGAATAATGTTATGTTGCCCCCTGTTCTGTTTCGTTTTCTCGTGCCGTTCGTCTAATCTTTGTATCATCACCTTTTTGCTGTTGTGGTTGGGTCGATATGTCAGACGGGGGGGTGTGGACGTTGGGGATCGATAGAGTGGTTGGATATGTCTGGCCGGAGGGAATTCAAAATTACAGATTTGTATATATATGTTATTGGGCATCCTGGTTGCTTCTTTCCCGTCGCTCGGACTTGTGAGCGCGGGGCGGTGCTTGTATGTGGGAATCGTCATCCGAGATTGGCTTCTCTTTCTTTTTGGTTGTCACAGTGTGATCGGAGGCTTTCTTTCTGCTTTCTTTGCGGATAAGACTGCTTTTATATCCTGGTTGGTTTCGTCCCGTTGTTTGCCCTGTGGCTGGGGGCGATATTTGCATCTGGGACGTGTCATCCGGGATTTGCTTTGTTGCCCCCTTTTCTGTATTATTTGGCTGTTCCCTTTCTCTTTGGGACGTCGTTATGAAACTCCGTCGAAACAATTTGTCACAGCCCCTCGTTTGTTGTCCTCTTCTTTGTCTTTGCGTACGGTTTACCGGGCAGTTGTGTTTGCAACTATATATATATATATATATATATATATATATATATATATATATATATATATATATATATATATATATATATATATATATATATATATATATATATATATATATATATATATATATATATATATATATATATATATCGTCCCGTCCTTTGGCCTGTGAGTTGGTTTTGAGGCTTGCATTCGGAACGTGACGAAAGGGATGTATTATATTGTCACCTGTTCTGAGATTTTTGGTTGTTCCCTTCCTCTTTTGTTTGCGTCTTTGTCTTCTCGCTGTGTGCAAGTGGGTTGATATGACAGACGGGGGTGGCGGCAGCCGCCGCTCAACGTACATCCACGTGGCCGGCCTTGAGGATGAGTCGAGGTTATGAATACGGGGGAAGTTAGAAGCAAGAGGAAAAAAAAAAAAAAAAAACGAGTCTCTCTTCTTTATCGCACTTGCGCTTCGACAATTTTGTGAACATATACATACACATGACACAGATACAGCCTCCTGATGAGTCGGTGAAACTCCAACGAAACAGTTTGTCACAGCCCCTCGTTTGTTGTCCTCTTCTCTCTCTCTGCCTACGGTTTACTGGGCAGTTCTATTTGTGACGATATATATATATATATATATAAGTCGGTGAAACTCCGATGAAACAGTTTGTCACAGCCCCTCGTTTGTTGTCCTCTTCTCCCTCTCTGCGTACGGTTTAGCGGGCAGTTCAGTTTGACGATATATATATACATATATCGTCACAAACATATATATTTGTTTATTTTTTTCTGACATTGGTGCAGAATTCCGGTGTTAACATGAGGCAAAAGTTGTTCAGAATTTTTATGTTTCATAACGTCATTTTTTCCCTAATATGTGTTTTTTTTTTCCTCCTGTTTATCAACATTTTTCCGCTGTCAACATGAGGCAGAATTTTGCGTTGGACAAACTGCGACGACACCGTTTGGCACACCCCCTCGTATATGACAGTGTAATCGCTAAGGGGATTTTACAGACTGTTCACTGTTCAGCTTCATGATGAGTCAGTGACACTTTGAGGAAACAGTTTGCCACAGCCCCTCGTTTGTTGTGCTCTTCTTCTCTCTCTCTCTGCGTACGATTGACCGGGTACTTCTGTCTGTGACGATATATATATATATATATATAAAATTGTGGTTAAGCCTCCAGATGAGTCGGGGGCACAGTCTGACGAAACAGTCTGCCAGAACCCTCGTTTGTTGTGCTGTTCTCTCTCCGTCCCTACGGTTTACCGGGCAGTTGGGGGAAAAAGTTGTTCTTTTTATTTTTATGTGTAACCTGATTTTTTCCGATTTTTTGCTAATCCTATTATAATTTTTTGTTTTCTTGGTTTTTTTTTTTTTGCCAATTTGCTTCAACGGGTCAGCCGTGCCTCAGGGTTATCCTTTTATATATATAAATATATGTATATATATGGTTGCCGGCGTTCGGGATGGGCCGAACGCCCGAACCCGAACGCCCGAACGTTTGGGACCCCCTCTCGACGCGTTCGAACGTTCGATCGAA